GTGGCTTAATTGAAAGATAATAAACTTCATATATTTAAAATGTACAATTAATAAACGTGATGTGACTGTCATCATTATCAAGAAAGTGGACAAGTGAATTCTTCTCAACATTTCCTCTTGTTCTGCTGTATTCCTCCTCCTCTCCCCTTCCCTTCTTCTCTTATTTCCCCTGGCAACCACCAATCTTCATTATATTTTTTTAGATATATCTTTATTTATCAGAATTTATAAAAATGAAATTACATCTTATATATTCTTATTTGTTTGGCTTATTTTACTCAATATAAATACTCAGCTATTTTACCTTGTTGTTCTGTGTCTCAGGCATTTATTTATTATAAATGATGGGTAGTATTTTAGTGAATAAATTTACCATAGTTTATTTTTCTATTAAGCAGCTATACAATATTTGCATTCTTTCATTACTCTGGGTCTTACCAAAAAAATCTGCAACTCAGTTTTGAAATGTACATAGATGAATAATGTATTTTGCTTATTTTTTTACAATAACAACATCAACAATAACAGATAAACAGAGAAGATGGGGTTTTGCAAATTTTTAAAAATATTTTAAATACTTGAAGTTTTACGAGAAACATCAAATCTGAAATCCAGGGAGTGGCCAGTTCTTGTAGGCAGTAACAAGGCAGGGGCAGAGTCTGGCATATAAAATGTGGGCGACTACAAGATAAAAACACACATATATATTGGATTGCTTGAAGTCAAGTGTGGTAAATCTATTGTGTGAATTTCTCAGGGACCACATTCTGAAGAACTTTCCTATCCTCTTGAATGATTTTTTCCCAATAATGGGGAAAGTCACAAAAATCTTTTTCTGCCAATGTATCTGTCTGAGAGAGAAAAAGAACCTACACTCTGAAATGCATTTGGACCCACCTCCTTTATCCCCGTTGCAGAACTAAGAAATTACTCTGCAGGGGCAAGCCACCAAAACCAGTATCTTAGGGATGCTCGGGCAATCCCTTAGGAACTGAGATGGGAAAAGAGGTCTTCACCTAAGTTCCTTTGAGAACTACCTCCCCCTTTCTTACTGAATCGGAGACTTAATCTCCAGGTCAGTTCAGCAAATCTGGAAGGTGATAACACCATAATAGAACATTGGAGCTGTGGGCGGGAACAACTGGGGAAAACAAGAGTACTCTCCTCAGGGAAAAGAGCAAGAACACACAGACGGACATCTCATCTGGAGGAAGTTCAGAAACACTGGAAAGCTGACACCCAGACTCAGGATCACAATATGGACCCATGACAGGTCAGAAAACATCCCTTTATTTTCTTGCCTTCAACCAATTTTACAATTGTCAGTTGAATATGACATCTTTTTTTAAGTTATACTTTAAGTTCTAGGGTACATGTACACAACGTGCAGGTTTGTTACATATGTATACATGTGCCATGTGGGTGTTCTGCACCCGTTAACTCGTCATTTACATTAGATACATTACATA